GAAAATGAGACAATAAATAAAATAGGAGAAAATATCAGCAATAGCAACAACATTCTAACATCCTCAGAGGCAAGTGAAAATATGGCATCCCTGAAACAAGAACAGAGTTCTGTAAAAACGAAATATTCAGGGATAAAAAAAGAAAGCATTTAGAATTAAAAGTATGATAACAGAAAGGGAATATTTACTGGAGAGCTGAAAGATAAACTTGAGAAATCTCCCAGAAATAAGAAAAAAGATGAAGATGTGGAAAATGGAAAATAAATATGAGGAAATTTTAAAAATCAGTCCAGATGGTCCATAATCTGAATAGTGGGGGTTCCGGAAAGAGAGAATAGAGAAAACAGAGACGATGAACTTATCGAAGAAACAGTTTCAGATAATTTCCCAGACTATAAAGAGCCCATTATGTGTCCAGCAGAAAGTCTGGAAAATTAAGGTATAGCATTGTATAATTCTGGAACACTGTGGAGAAAGAGAAGATTCTAAGAACATCCACAGAAGGAAAAAAGTAGTCATATGTGAAATTTTGATCAGAATAGCTTTAGACTTTTTATCAGTAGCACTAGAAATTAAAAGACAAGGGAGTAATGCCTTCAAAGTTCTCAGGGAAAATTACTTACAACCTATAACTCTATATCCAGCCAAAACATTAGCCAAGTGTAAAAATAGAATTTTAAAAGCATCAGACATGCAAGGATTTAGAAACTTTATAACACAAGCATGTGTTTTAGGGGTAAGTGAATTAATACTCCTTCAACATGGCAGAAAAATCTATGGATATTGTCTAAAATTGATAATCAAGAAATAAAATGTTGTATTTAGAGATTTTCAAGTAGCTACCAGATGAGAAACATCAGTAAGACTTCAAAGTGGTTGGGAGGATTAGAGGGTCATGGAACCTCTGAGAACTGATGCTCTTCCTTACAAGTTTTGTACTATTTGATTTTTTTTAACCATGTGCATGCATTAATTTGATTAAAAAATAATTTTATTTGAAAATCAAAAAGAAAGTGGATGGAAAGTGAGATAATGAAAACAGTGAATATAACAGAGTTAGAGGTAGAGGTAGGGGGAGGGGCAAGCGCTTACTCTATTCTATAGGAGGCCTTTACGCATATGAAGCTCTTTAATCTTCCCAATGGCTGAAAGAGAGAATATCGTTATACCATTTTAGAGGTGAGAAACCTGAGGCTCAAGAAAGTTAAAGGAACTTGCCCCAAGTCACACAGGAGGAACTGGCAGTATTAAGGCTGAACCCACGTCTGTCTTGTTCCAAAGCTCAATCATGTTCCACTACATAGTTTTAAATGTTGGCAAACAAGAGAAGAGAGAGAGACTGGAACCTGGTATGAGGGGAAGACGGTGAGTTTTTGGTAGAGGAAACACATAAATGTTAACGTAAATTGAAGGTAAAGAGTCATCAGAGGCCAAGGATTGAAAGTACAAGAGAGAGAAGGAATAATTGAGCCGAGTCTTAGAAAGTTTGGGGGGAGTAGCACAGGGATGAGAGCAAGAGTTTGCCTCAGGAAGGAGTAAAGCTATGGGAAGGAGGTGAGAGTGGGTGAACTTGTTAGTAAGCTGGAATTTAGAGAGGAGGGAAATTGAAGTGGTGATACCATTTTCTCCATGAAGTAGAAAGCTAATTATTCTCCTACGAATAATTGAGTAAGAGGAGGGTTGGATCTTTACAGGGGATTGGGGGGAGGAGATAGAGTTGGAATTTGACTGGAGCATTCAGGAAAGATTGGGGTCACCAGATTTAGCAAATAAAAAATAGAGCTCACCCAGCTAAATTTGAATTGCAGATTAACAACAAACAATTTTTTTAGTATATGTCCCAAATATTGCATGGTATTTCATCTGGTAACCCTTAAAGAGAGACACTAAAACATGCATAAAGAACAGCAAAGCTGCTTTGAAATAAAAAATTTGGAATGGTGCAAACTCAATGTGAATTGGACAACAGATGATAACCTCAGTGGGACAAGAAGGTAGGAACATTGGGCTTGGCTTCCAGGCAGCAGCAGAAAGGGAGTGGGGCTAACTGCCAGGAGATAGCTTGAAGATGTGATTCTTAGGGTCTCTCCTGAGAGTAATGGGAAGAAAGATGCGTGAGAACCAGCAACTTGGAACTGGTAAGGAAGCCGTCGCTGCAAATAGCTTTGCCTACTTTCTAATTCTGCCTGAGTGGTCATCTACATCTTATGTCTCATAGGTGTGTACTAAGGATGAATATTACTGAATAACCATCTGCAAAGTGTTTGAGCTCTTTAAAACATTGGATCAATACTGACCGTTGTCCGCACCAACAGTTGGCGTCCTCACCAACTCACAAGAAAAGGACTGACTTCCCCTGCACAATTCTTCGACATGCTTGAGGTTTATCATGGTGGTTTGGAGTAGTGGTTAAGAATCTGCAGCTCATCGACAGTCATAGCCCACGTTAACCACGTTGCTTACTATGTCTGGGACTCAGTTTCCTTGTTTGTAAAATTAGATAATAACAGTACCTAACTCATGGTAAGGATTAAATGAGTTAATGTGTGTAACACTTAGAATCTGGTACACAAATACTAAAACTCTAACCTTACATTAGATGGTATAGGTAGATAATGAGAGGTTTTTAAAAATGTTCTTCATTATATCTTTATATACATTTTTTACACATATAGAGTCAGGAAGTCAGTGGTTTTAAAAAAGACTCATGAGGGGAGGGGTTGGAGAAATAGCATAGAGGATTCTTAGGGCAGTGAAAATATTCTACATGGTACCATAAGGATGGATGGATACGCATCATTATATGTTTGTCCAAACCCATAGAAAGTACAACACAGAGAGTGAACCCTAAAGTAAACTATGGACTCTGGGTGACAATGATGTAACAATGTAGGTTCATCGATTGTAACAAAGGTACCACTCTGGTGGGGATGTTGATAATGGAGAGGTAATGCCTGTGTGGGGGCAGGGGGTATATGGGAAATCTCTGTATCTCCCACTCAATTTTGCTGTGAACCTAAAACTGCTCAAAAAAAAAATCTTAATAATAAAAAGGTGGTAAAAATAAAAATAAAATTTAATAAAATATTTTGGCAAAAAGAAAATGCATGATGGTGAAAAAAAGGACATCTATACTTTTGTATACATGTTTTACAGACTTGCATACTCAGTAAATAAGTGGTTTTAAAAGGACATTCATTAGCATATCTTTGAATACATTTTGTAGACATGCATAGTCAAAAAATACATACAATTTTAAAACTTTAAAACTAGAGGTTTGCTTCCCTTCAGGAACATGCATTTCAATTCCTGAACTGTTTATTGACTGAGAGTGTTTGACCTGGGAGACATGGCATCTGCAGCATTTAAGTTTTGGAACCCAGAGCGGGCACTCACGAGCTGGGACATCTAGCGACTTAAGCTGTCTGAGTGACATTTCTCTCATCAATAAAATGACCAACAATGCTTGCTTCACAGAGTAGTAGTGTTAAATTAGATAATCTATCACATGCCTGATATAGTCTGGGTGTGCAATTCACTTTAATTCCTTTCTCTTTAAAGAACTCATAAATTAGTGGATGGGGTGGAGTTTGCCAGATGGCCATTGGGCAGACTCAGCATATTTCCCCTTTTAAATGAAGTAAGTCCTCAAACCCAATCAGAGTCTACTCTAGAGTCTAGAGGACCGTTATCTTAGTTTCTACATTGTATGCACATACTGTTGTTGAATTTGTGGGTATGTGCTGGGTGCAACGCTGTTGACGAGGGCTTTCAGGCAGCTGTGAATTAACTGTCACTTGATTTTTTCCTTTGCAAACTCATAAGATCCCAGAAGCCAGGGGTCTGTTTATTCATTCAGCCTCCTTCTGAGTCATTCAGGTACAGGGTGTGTCTGTCAATTGAAACCACACAACAGAGAAGTTTTGCGTTCACATCTGCAGGGATGGGAAGCCAGTGCGACCAGGGACTGGGTGGAAACCGTCTGTAGAGTAGCGCAGGGCAGAAGTGCTCTGAGCTTGTCACTTAGGTGGAGCTGACCAAAGCCGCCTCTCAGTCTCACGTTCTGAAGTAACATCTAAGCAAAAGGAAAGAGTGGGTGAGTTGCGAGCACTGATGTTTGGGGGCCTCTGACTTGCCTCCCAAGTAGAAAGGGAGAGAAAGGCGCCGGCTGGGGAGCTGCAGGCCCTCGGCTGGGCTGGCCTCGGCGGCTCTTCCCCCTTGGAAATTTCTGAGCTGCCCCAGCTTTTTAAATCCCTCAGGTCCGGGCAGCTGCCCACCTCCTCAAAGGCCTCACCACTGGCCAGATCTGGGACACACCGCCTGACTTTGCGCCCAGTCGAGTGAGGGGAACCCCTGTCCAGCGCCTCGCGCGGCGCTGGCCCATTTCACTGTGCGCGCCGGGAAAGCCACTTTCTGCCCTTCAGACCGCAAGTTTCAAGGCAGCAGCTGGATGGGGGCGGGGTAGGGAGAAGAGGAGGAACTCCCAGGCCACTCGCCCTTGGTGGCTGCTGCCTGCTCCATACCTCGCGCGGCCCTTCCCAGCCTCTGCTCCCGGGAGCGCGGCCGGGACTCGCTGGGTCGCGGCTCCGGTTTCGCCTGCCTGCGCTGACGCGGCCCGGGGGCACCCGGCCACAGTCTCGGGACTCCGAACCCCCGAGGGCTGCGGGGTAGCCGACGAGAGAGGTGTGCTACGAGTCTCCGGGCCGTCTTCTCCCCCTAAGACTTTTCGAGAGAAAAGTTTCCAAAGGCTTTCCACCTCCTCTCTTTTCTAAGGCTCGGGAGAATGGTCTCCACCGCCCGGGAGCAGCGGATAGCAGGGCGAGGGCTGTGATTTATACATTAGAGTCTAGGGGGCACCAGGCTCCTCCCCTTCTGAGTTTTTTTTTTTTTTTCCCAGTTGCCTGTGGAGGAGGAGGGGTTCTTTTTCTTTTTCGCTTCTGCCCCCTCCTACCCTCTCCCCCCAAAAAACTCTTTCCTGGACAGAGAGTCTCAGCAGCTGAGATCCGGGGGCCCCCAGCCACTGGTGGAGGGCGTGGGGGGTTGAGGCGAAAACCCCTCCCCATCTCTTTCTAAAGAAACCACCAGCCTCAGCGGGGCGCTCGGCTACTTCAGCTCGCAGGCCGGAGCTGTGCGGAGAGGGAGGGGACCCCGACTCGAGTAAGTTTAGAGCGCAACGTAGTCAGTCCGGGGCAGCAGCAAGATGCCGAGCGCGCCGTGCAGACCTGGAGCTCTACGAAAGCAGCTTCGTCCTGCCTGAGCGAGGTAGGGGACCGCGCGCCGCGCCAGCGGGTGCTGGGGGCGCCGGGGAGTCCCGCTGCGGGAGGGCTTCTGTGTCAGGCACGAATTTTTAAACAGGAATGAAGCAAAACAAAACTTTTAAAACATCCATCTCTGGGCGCTGGAAACATGCATCTCTGGGCTACTAAGGAGCCCAACCCGATGGGATTGTTCTTGGGGCACTTGTGATTTATGAAGTTTGGAAAAGGGTTAAGTCTCAGTTGCAGAACCGACTGGGGGTGGGGGATAGGGGAAGCTGCGGTTGGTCGGAGGAAAGGGAGGGAAGGCGATTATTTTTGGAAATCCTATAGACAAAGAATATGGGTGGTGGGGCTACGGGCTTAAACTTGCCCTCCCGAGAGCAGGGTGTGGAATTAGGTGGAGGGAATGCGGAGCTTCTGGGCGCCAGCAGCTTCTACTGGCCCGGGAATCGTTGGGATTGCTTTCGCCTCTATTACTCCAATTTTATCACATTGCTGCGTTATCTTGAAACATTTAATCAACTGACAGCTAGACTTCTTCTGCTAACCAGTGCCTGTCTCATTCCCTCCACACTTTCTAGTTCTACGAGAGGAGGCAACGTGTTGGGGGAGAGCAGTAAATAAAACTGCCGGCGCTAGCTTAGCAATGCACCAGACGTCCGCTTATGTGAATTTCTGGAGCGTAGTTTCGCACTCGGGATTAGGAACGTAGTGGCGTGTATTGTGTACTGTTATCATTAGTAGTGTAACTTCTCTTTGTGTGTGTTTTGGCTATACGCACGGTAACTAAAAATACTTATGCGATCAATGAATGTACGAAACTTCTGGGATTTATTGCAATCTCTTATGAATGATTCTTACTGAGTACCTTTATATTTTTTCTTGCACTGGCTTGCAAGAAAAAAAAAAGAAGAAGAAGAAAGAAAAGGCAGTTGCTTCACGGAGGCGCTAAGCTTTCCTGTTTACCGAAAGGCCAGGGCGGGCTTGGCTGCCCACACCACGCTGCACCCTCGGACCCAAAGCACACCTGCTCCTAGAGAGTTATTAATAAAGCCTAAGGAATGACTTACGCTGTCAAATGATTTTCGTGCAAGTCTAATTTCTTGCATGGCATTTAGGAGGTGGTTCTTGTCTCTTTTAGCTGGGTAGTGGTGGGGGGCAGAGGTGTGCATCTCCGCCCTCATACTGGCTGTGGGGTCTCTTCAGAGGAGAGAACAAGAGCTGGTGGTGAGTGAGTCCACCGTGTCTGGAAACCTGGGAGAGGTGGGGACGGGGGAGGGTGAGTGAATGGAGTTAAATGGGGCTCGCTTCTCCAGTTTTCCCATTTCCATTTGAGTGGATGTGACCATAGGGAAAGTTTTCGTCTTGCCGAGTTGGAGTGTTCAGTTTGGATAAAATTTTGTTTTTTCTCCCTCTCTTTCTTCCCTTTCTTCCTCTTTTTTGCAAGAAATGAGAATTTGAAATTTTTAAATCGAATGTCCCCAAGTTTTCTTAAATCAACAAAAACAACAACACTAGAGCAATGCCTTAGTTAGGATGAATTATACCAGTGTGCTGTGGCTTTTTCCCTGACTCGCTTCTCTTTGTGACTTGTTTAAGGCTGCGGTTTCCGAGGCCCTCTCCAGCCAAGGAAAAGCGACACAAAAAGCTTGGATCTCTCTCACTGAACCACCCCCGCAGCAAGTGAAGGCTCGCTCGGCCTCGCCCTCTAGCGTTCGTCTGGAGAAGCGCCATCCTCGGGTTCCTGGGGACGCAGAGCGCACCATGGGCTCCACCAGCATCCCGCTGGTCAAGGCCCTACGCAGCTCTGTCTCCGACTACGTCAACTATGACATCATCGTCCGGCATTACAACTACACAGGAAAGCTGAATACCAGCGCGGACAAGGAGAACGGCATTAAACTGACCTCAGTGGTGTTCATTCTCATCTGCTGCTTTATCATCCTAGAGAACATCTTTGTCTTGCTGACCATTTGGAAAACCAAGAAGTTCCACCGACCCATGTACTATTTTATTGGCAACTTGGCCCTCTCAGACCTGTTGGCAGGAGTGGCCTACACAGCCAACCTGCTCTTGTCTGGGGCCACCACCTACAAGCTCACCCCCGCGCAGTGGTTTCTGCGGGAAGGGAGTATGTTTGTGGCTCTGTCTGCCTCCGTGTTCAGCCTCCTAGCCATCGCCATTGAGCGCTATATTACCATGCTGAAGATGAAACTCCATAACGGGAGCAACAGCTTCCGCTCCTTCCTGCTGATCAGCGCCTGTTGGGTCATCTCGCTCATCCTGGGTGGCCTGCCCATCATGGGCTGGAACTGCATCAGCACTCTGTCCAGCTGCTCCACGGTGCTGCCGCTCTACCACAAGCACTATATCCTCTTCTGCACCACTGTCTTCACTCTGCTCCTGCTCTCCATCGTCATTCTATACTGCAGGATCTACTCCTTGGTCAGGACTCGCAGCCGCCGTCTGACTTTCCGCAAGAACATTTCTAAGGCCAGCCGCAGCTCAGAGAAGTCGCTGGCGCTGCTCAAGACCGTGATTATCGTCCTGAGCGTCTTCATCGCCTGCTGGGCGCCTCTCTTCATCCTGCTCCTGCTGGACGTGGGCTGCAAGGTGAAGACCTGCGACATCCTCTTCAGAGCAGAATACTTTCTGGTGTTGGCGGTGCTCAACTCTGGCACCAACCCCATCATTTACACTCTGACCAACAAGGAGATGCGCCGGGCCTTCATCCGAATCATGTCTTGCTGCAAGTGTCCCAGCGGAGACTCCACTGGCAAATTCAAGCGTCCTATCATCGCAGGCGTGGAATTCAGCCGCAGTAAGTCGGACAACTCCTCCCACCCCCAGAAGGATGATGGAGACAACCCAGAAACCATTATGTCCTCTGGAAATGTCAACTCTTCTTCCTAAAACTGAAAGCTGCCAACCCATGGGCAGCATTCTTGCATGGTCACCCACCACCCCAGTGTTTGGAAAAAAATCTCTGCGCCTCGACTGCTACCAGGGAGGAGCTGCTGCGAGCCAGAGGGAGGGAGGGGGAGAGTAAGAACGGCCTGGTCCGGCCGGGTGTTGGTGGGTAGAGTTAGTTCCTGTGAACAATGCACTGGGAAGGGTGGAGATCAGGTCCTCGCCTGGAATCTATTTCCTCCCCCCTGGAGCTTTGATTTTGCACTGAGCCAAAGGTCTAGCATTGTCAAGCTCCTGAAGGGTTCATTTGGCCCCTCCTCAAAGACTAGTATCCCCCGTGTGAAAGCCTCTCTCTCAGGAGCTTTGAGGAGAAGATGTTTTCTTTGACTTTAGTTTCCAACCCAACTGAGTGTGTGCACTTCTGCTTCTCTAGGTATGCTCTACATATCCCACCCTCCCTTCCCCTTCACTCCCCTCCTCAAAATTCTTTTACTTTATATTTTAACTACCTGGCATTCATCAGAGCTGGGGGTGTGGCATGGTCCATTTCTTGATCATCTGTAGCAGCTAGGCTGGGTCCAGGGAGTAGACTGTGAGGAGATGGAGATGGTTTGGAGATGTAAAGCAATTTCATTTGCTGAGGCCAAAGTTTCCACATCAGCCGGATCAGTGTCTTGGAATTTGGTTGTAGTCACTTTGATTTTTGTTTTTTTATCTTTACAATGAAATGTTACAGTATCATATCCATTGTGGCTGAAATATGCATAAGGATTTGTCTAAATGGTGTCAGCCAGGATCCTCGGTGTCATAGGAGAAACAAACAAGCAAAAGAAGGTGAAAACTGACTGGGGGGTGAATTTGTAAACACAGAGATATTTCTAAACGAATTTGTCTAACAAATACAGCATCTTTTTTTGGCACTTTTGTTGATGTTTATGTCAGAGTATTGTGTGAATCATTTCAACCAACAGGATGGTTATATTTTGTTGTGTTAAAAGTACTTTTCCTGATTTTTGAATGTATTTGTTTCAGCATTTTATTGGATTTTTCTAACCTGTGTTAACACCATTGAATGTGTATTTCTTAAGAAAATGCCACCCTCTTGTGCCCTTAAAGCATTACTTTAACTGATAGGGAACGTCAGAAGATTTCAGTACAGCTGTTTATCAGATACTTAATTGAAGATGTGTATAAATGTTACAAAGAATAAAAATATATTGCTGTCTTTTTAGTATGGTTTTCAGTGCAATTAAACCAAGAAATGTCTTTTTTTTAAAAAATAGTATTTAATAGGTTTCTGACTTTTGTGGATCATTTTGCACATAGCTTTATCAACTTTTAAACATTAATAAACTGATTTTTTTAAAGATTCCATTGTGAAGAGCATTTTTGGAAAATAATTATTAAGACATTCTATTTGACTATGTAGCTCTTTAGAATCAAAGTTAAGGGGAAATTTCTGTTATTCTTTAAAGGATTTCACCTTGATAAACTAGGGTGTGAAAAAAAATGTGGTTTGTCAAGAAACCGCTCACTCTTTTTTCAGGAAGAGAAACTTCAATAAGTTAACATTGAAGAGTTGTAAAGAGATGAAAATCACCCACCTCTAAATACCACATTGACAAGTAAATGTAATTGTTTGAGTTTTAAATTGCATTCATGCCAAACTAAATTAAGTACAATAATTCTGTCCTAAAACATGAGCTTTTTAGGAAACAATATGCAACAATGTGGTTGTAAATCTAATTTAAATTATGAGACTCAGTCGTCAGTTCAAACTCATCAACAAAAGCTTGCATTCTTGGCTTTCCACCAACATGCTGGGGAAGTGGGGATATGGATGCGGGAGATAGTATTAAATCACTTTTGTTTTTTTCGGAACACTGTCTTAGCTTCTCCCGGTCTACCCTCTGAACAATATGGGACTATATGTATCAATGAAGTAGCAAGTTGCAGAATGTAGGCTGAGGAGCATACACCTTTTATCTGAAAACTTTTGATTCATAGTGTCTGAAAGCTTTAACCTCCTTAGTCATTAATTTCTCCAGCTATAAAATGAGAGCAAGGGTACTTTGCAAGTATCACAGAATTATCGTAGTAGTTAATTCTTATTGTGATATTATTGTCATCTTCTTTGGGAATTAAATGGAAGCATTTTGGTGTGTTTGGCCCTCCAGTGCTATTGTTACTTTCAGAATTTGTGCTTTCAAGTGTCATTGAACATGCACAGGACACAGTTGGGACATGAAGATAAACCTCACCTAACAGAGTAGATGTCATTTCTGGGTAAGGTTAACTGTGGGAAACAGAAGTGTGTTCACTGGGGAAACCTTGGGTCACAACCTCCAGTTTCCTGAAGGAAATGCCAAAAATGCTCCGAAGACAAAAGACTGGAAACAAACTGGAATGTCTCTATCCATCTGTCTGCTGAGGCGGAAGGAATGAGTTCATGTTACACTCACTTCCTAAAGCTTTCATTACAGAGTCAAGCATAATGGAAAAGTGTGTCCATTTTGTGTTTCTATGCAAGATACTCTTGGACTAATCTTTATAAACACAGTGGTGACTCACAGGACATGGGGAAGATGAGGTAGGGCAGCTGACCTTGGTGGGACTGGGGAGCTCATTAGTGACAGGGAGCATAGCCTCACTTGCCCACCTGTGAGCACATTAGCCAATGACTAAATGTGCTTTTTTCCTGGAAACTTCAGACAGTGCATTTCATTCCAAGAAAACTGGACAGTCATGGACTGTGGTTTTTTTGGGCAGATGTGGGGTAGAGCCCTAGTTCTGGTGAAGAAGCAATGGCTAAGATGAAGGAATTCTTGGTTGTATCCCAACATGAATATCTAGTTTTAGTTCAGTATATCCTGACAACTGAGGATGAAAAAAAATTTTAGTAACTGTATGTTTATACTAAATAAACATCCATAAAGTTTTGATTAAAGAAACATAAGTAGAGGGGCTGGCCTGCTGGCATAGTGGTTAAGTTAGCGTACCCCACTTCAGTGGCCCGGGGTTCGCGGGTTCAGATCCCGGGGCGCGGACATATGCACCACTTATCAAGCCATGCTGTGGCAGACGTCCCACATATAAACTAGAGAAGGATGGGCACAGATGCTAGCCCAGGGCTCTTTTTTCCTCAGCAAAAAGAGGATTGGCAACAGATACTAGGTCAGGGCTAATCTTCTTACCAAAAAAAACACACAAAAAAACCAAACCGTAAGTAGAATTTTTTAAGAGGAGTAAAACCAACAATCTGAGCAATACTTGACATATTCTTGTAAAAAGTACCATTGGCTCATAAATACTAAGGAAAGTTACAAAATGACTTAAAATAATATTTTACTCCAAGAACATTAAATGTGATTACAATTTTACGGAACATTCAAATAAAAATCTTACATAAGCAAATGCTTGTTCTTGCTTGTAGTCTCATAATTATAAGTAGAAAAATTTAGTTGTTTAATCAAAGTTGATCCAGTGATATTAGAAATTCAAAACTTTATCATAGTAAGAATTTTGCCTTCATCTTAGTTAGATACTGGATTCCAATTAAGTAATGTCAGCACTGTGGTTGTGATTTACGGCATCTCTAATTTTCCCCAACGTAAAAAGTCTTACTATAAAGATTTTAACCTTACTTCTTTTCAAATCAGATTAATTTCTGCTCTAGACATGGTTTTTGTTAAGGATATGCCCAATGCAATACTCTTGTAGCACTTCTTTTTTTTTTTTTTTAATTTTTTATTTATTTTATTTTTTCCCCCAAAGCCCCAGTAGATAGTTGTATGTCATAGCTGCACATCCTTCTAGTTGTCTTGTAGCACTTCTAACCTAGACTGTACTTTTTGTGTGATTTTGACTCTTCATGCCTCCAATCAGTACATGTCTGAGACCTGTCATGTTTTCTAGACAACTACAAATGTAGTTCTGTTTGGGAGCTATTACTTTGAAAAAGCAACTTCAGAAAGATGATGGGCTCTATTGGGGAAATCCTACAAAGTGAGGACTTGAAGTTCAAGTAATTCCAAATATTAGCAACCCCATTTTCAATTGAGAAGCGAGGGATAATACTTGAGTGATACATTAAAAATATATTCTAACTACAAAAAACTGTTAAAGATTTGATCTTGTAAATAGTTGGCTCAAAAATTAATCTCTAACTAGGAACCATTGTTTACCCATGGTATTTGCAATAATAAGTTTCTTTAATCTCTGTATAATGTTCAGTTATTCTTTTTTTTTTAAATATTCCCTGCTCCATAGTCAGCTGGAATGATGTTGTTTCCTGTGGACACCTAGCTAATTAAATCAAACTAGATTTGTCTATGTTTTAAACATCTTGAGAAGGAATCACAAATAACCAAAAGAAACCTTTATAGGACCTATTAGAGTATTCTTTCCCCATGGATGTAGTAAGTTCTTCATGAGAATCATAATAAATTGTATCATTTCCTCCAAACTTCCTTCCTGCTTTTTTGATGTGTGCTTCACATGGTCCAAGGAAAGGGACTCAAAATAGTTTTTTATAGACACCTTCACCTTCAGCTTCTAATTGGAACTAGAGTCATCTTTCAGAATACCCAAGCAATCAAGGTTTACTTGAATAGCTAATAGACTTTAGCTTGTCTACCAAGAAAAAGAATTTTTAACCAGTGGTCAAAGAGCTAAGAGACAGAGGAGGAAGATAATACTGAGGGAGGTTTAGACCTTCATTTAATTCAGTCTTTTCACAATCCTTGACAAGAGCCAGGACCAAGAACAAATTTGGTTCATGTTGAGGATATCTCCCCCAACACATCCTATCTCTTACTCTTTGCTCTTTCTTCTTGGATTCAGACTCTCCAGTGATTCCTATTTTCCAATACTTTCTTTTTCATCCCTTTGAGGATTTAAGGATTAAAAATCAGATTTATCTCTGGGTATAGTCATTAGCAAAATTCAAGTGTGGATTGCAGAGTTGAATGAACAGGAATTGCTACATTTTGTTTTATTGGAGTACCATGATGTGCCCAACCAGCTTCTGTGTTAATAATGGATAAACACATTGTGGTAAATTCGTAGAATAGAATACTATGCAACAATTTAAAAAGGAACTGCTACCGATGCTTGCAACAATTTGCATAAATCTCAAGACCATAAGATGTTGAGCAAAAGAAGCCAGCCAGGAAAGAGTACATACTGCATGATTCCATTTATGTGAAATTCAAGAACAGACAAATTAATCTATGGAGGTAGAATTCAGAGCAGTGGTTGCCTGGGGGAAAGGATAAACTGGAAAGGAACATGAGGGAACTTTCTAGATTGTTAACAATGTTATATATCTTAATTTTTAGGGTATTGTTTACTCAGGTGTATATATTTGTCTAAACTTATTCAAAAATATTCTTAAGACGTGTGAAATTAAAAAGAAATCAATATGGTAGACTTGTACTTCAGAGTATGAGGGCTATATGGGACTTTCCCTGTGAAATTATGGAACAAGTTTTCAAAGAGTTCGATAGAATGTAGCATCCAAAAAGTTCCATAGAAGGAACTCCTGCTCTTTTAGCACTCTCCTAGGTCCTAGAACCAAAACATTAAAATGCTAAATAATTGTGACCCGATGATACTCTCTTTGCTTCTATAGGATGAGAATTTGGCTTAGTATTGCTATTTGTAATCCCTGGAGAATTTCTGGGTCTTGGAAAAGTCTAGGGTTGCAATGGAACTGTCACAATAAAAGCTGATTGACATTCAGATTTCAGTTTTAGGAATATATGGTGTATTCTAAATAACCTTACGAAGAATGAACTTTTACATAGTGGCAAGGATACTGAAACCTATTCATATCGGTGACATACAATCTGGAGTGTGCCAAACCATTTCTTACCACCTGACTAAACTATAAAAGACATTCAGTCAAATAATAACACTTGTCCTGGATGCAAGGGCTGCATTGTTAGAAGTAATGGGCAGAGACACAAAAGAAATGGAAGACAGGCTAATGCTTTTGAGGACATTATAAGCTTGTTTTGGCTAGATACATCGTTTACCTGTGCTCAGCTCTGTCTAAGGATTTCTTCCTTCAGCCAGGGCAGAGAAGAAGTGCCTCAGGTGCTGCCGTGCTTCCTTTGGGGACAGGCTAATTAGATACAAGGAGGAATGGAAACAGGAGAGAAGAGGCAGAGCTACCAGGGCTGATGCTAGGGGGGAAGGTAGTTAGCTGCTTATCTATTTCCCTAGAGCTTTGATCCTATTATTGCTCCAGTTTGCTGCTGCTTTGTTGATACCAGGGCAGAAAGAACAACCCTAGAGGAAGCCCTGATGTGGCTCATGCTTCCTGGTCCCACCCTTCTTGATGGTGCACTCATCCATTTACCCG